CTATCCATTTCCATCATCTTTTCTTAATTTATTCTTCAGCCGAAAGTTAGTTTGATTGCTTATGGTATCCGGCCAATGGATGTTGAGTATCTTGCGAAGACAGCTATTTATAAATCCTTGTACTTTCTTGATGGTGGTTGTTGTAGTTCTCCAAGTTTCAGCTCCATACAGTAGAACTGTCTTGACGTTGGTATTGAAGATTCACACTTTGATATTAGTTGAAAGTTGTTTTGAGTTCCATATGTTCTTCAATTGTAGGAATGCGACCCTTGCTCTGCCAATCCTCGCCTTTACATCTGCATCTGAACCTCCTTGTCCATCGATGATATTTCCCAGGTATGTGAAGGTTTCCACACCTTTCAGAGTTTCGCCATCAAGAGTGATTGGATTGATGTTCTCCACGTTGTATTTGAGGATCTTGGTTCTTCCTTTGTGTATGTTGAGGCCTACTGATGCTGAGGCTGCTGCTACACTATTTGCCTTCATCTACATTTCTTTGTGTGTATGGGATAAGAAGGCTAGGTCATCTGTGATGTCTAAATCGTCTAATTGGTTCTGAGCTGTCCATTGTATTCCGTGTTTTCCCTCAGATGTCGAGGTCTTCATAATTCAGTCGACCAACAGAAGAAAGAGGAAGGGAGTGAGAAGACAGCGTTGTCTGACTCCGGTCCTTACTTGGAATGCGTCTGTCAGCTGTCCTCCATTCAATACTTTGCACTGTAGTCCGTCGTTTGAGTTCCGGATAATTTTGACAATCTTCTCAGGAACTCCGTAGTGTCGAAGACGTTTCCATGATGTTTTCTTGTCTACACGCATTTCAGTATAGATCTCTCAAGTTTTTATAATTTACAGCACAGCATGATCCTAGTTAAACAACTATTTAAAACCAGGAAATATGGAACTGCTATTTTATTAAAGTGTGGGACAGTTCAGTGGAGCACATCCATGACTCCAACATAGTGGATCAAACTCAGGACGTTTATATCTTAGCCTCTATACTTGAAGTGAATAACTCACATGGTTAAGCTTTACTAGTCGTAGCCTCTCACTAGAACTTCTGGAATTGCGTCCACCTTAGGCAATGGAAGACAGTCACTCAATATTACAAAATGATTGAATTTCGACATGTAAACTTTTGAATTCCAAGTAAGTCGTTTAAATGCCCATGAATCATGACGAAATCTGAAGGTGAAGACGTGAATATGCTCTACCAATAAGTGACGTACTAACACTGATACAGATTTCAGTTAACAATGTGAAATGTAATGTCTCTGAACCAATGCAATTAATTGAACTCACTGAAAAGAGTACATATCCTTTCATTTCTATAGATACACTGTACTAACTAATCTTTAGACTTTTATGTCAATTGTCTTCATCTATTTAACCTCAATACATTTTATGTATAGATAGACCTTGTTGACGATTCTAAGGCTAAGCTTCAACATTTTTTTCCAACGTCTCTTCATTTTCAAATGTATTAAAACTATGCATGCATAAGATAAATTTCAAAATATTTATATCAATACTGTATAGCTTAGTTCTGTCTCTGTCATTCTTTTCTTTTGTTACTCAACGTTTTCATAACTATATATACACATATATATGTATCTAAATCATTTCAAATTAATGACAAATGAATGGAATGTACTAAATAGAAAACACTATCTACCTATCTATCTATCTGTCTATACAACCGATGATTTATATTCTCAATAAATTGAAATGAATAAGATTTATTCTTTCTAAATCAAATAATTTTTCACGCTTGACTTTTCATAGTAAGAAAATAATAATACTCATAGTAATAGTAATAGTAATAATAATGATGGTAACGACTAATTATTCTTCCTTTATAAAATACTAATATACATTCCTTTTGAATGTAACAAATATGTTAGATAAAGGAAAAAAACAAGTTAATTTACAATTTCATATCAAATTATTCACTCACTTTACCTCTTTCTCTCTCTCTCTCTATCTCCCTCTCTCTCGTTCTATTCATTTCTTTCTATCAAATATTTCAGTACACCGACATGATTATTAATGATTTATCCTTTTTATATCACTTAACAACCAACACCGATATTGTTAGCTTTACTATGGTAAAATTTATTCAGTGAGATCACGGAGTGAAAAATATCAGGTCATTTTTTTAAAAAGAAAGAGTTAAAATTAATGTTAAAGTATTACTTCTCATTTAAAATTAATAGTAAAAAGGTACTTTATTTGACTGTCTTTTTAATTTTCTCCAGTTATTTGTTATTTTTTTACAAAACAGGAATCCGACTGATTGTTAGTTTCCTCTCTCTCTCTCTCTCTCTCTCTCACTTGTTAATGATGTCAAGTAATCGGCAATACATATATAGTTACTATGTTTTTTGGAGATCAACTAGATTTCATTTTAAACATTGTTTGTCTATCATTTTCTATTTTGAAAAAATGGAACTTGTTATTTTTGCTTTTCTGGAATTTTGGAATTGACTTGTTGACTTTTGTCTTAGAATAATATATTATTCTGTTTCCTTTTATGTATTTATCTTTGCTGTAACCTGATTGATTGACAACTAATTGGCGATGAATTTAAATATATAAACTAATGTTCAGTAAACCTGTAATTATCTAAAACGTTTTGTAATGTTCACGAATGTTATCGAACTTGACACTTTTGGTCATATTTCTTTTTATTTAGCGAAGAGGATCCGTGCATATTATAGTGTAATTTCCACTAAAGATTTCATTTAAAAAATTTAGTGGGTCCCGCCTATGTCACTTGTGAACATGTTCGATGTAATGCATACTGATAAGGTGGATGAAAACTGTAATATAATAAACTTCAGAGCTTAAAATAAAATATGCATTACAATTTTTAAAATATTCAGCAACTATGCAATAAACAAACTGTGAAATTACACAAAATGGTGTATATGACACAATTAGTAAACCCCGAAAACGTTATGAATAACTGTAGATGAATAAATTAAAACATTTACACTCAAAGTTACATCAAGTGTTACATTTATGATGAAAAAGTTATCTATTTGTGTAATAATATGTTAGGCTTAACGGACAAAAAGACTTAAACACTTTATAATAAGTGTGGTTATACTACCAGCAAATAAACAGTTAGTCGTTTTTACAAAATACTCTGAATGTTGTGAAAACAGAATGAAATTTGTTTGTTAAATATTGTAAATTTACAATTCTTTAGTATACGATGACAATAATGGATCTGTTAATACAAGTGATAAGCAATGTAAATGACTTTAAAAAGACATTAAGTAAATACTTTTAATGGATTCTGAAATGACTCAGTAAACGGATACATACTAAGGATTTATTTTGGACTAGGTGAATTCATTGACATATGGTTATAATCCAGAGTATAGAGATTTAATCATTACAGATTCTACCCGTTTCTTGTTCACGATTACGTGATGGTCTCCCCTCTCTCTCTCTCGTGCTCGATTCGTTCATCTATATTTTTCACTATGAAACTAAATGACATTTTTAAAACATTTTATCCATCAATTGTCTTATTAAGTACGAACGTACAAAAAGAAATGATTTCACTTCATTTCATAATACTCTAATTTGATTATGAAAGTTTAAATTCATGAATGTAAATTATTATCAGAAGGGCTTTTGTGGAGATTTTAGAAATTTCAATAGTTGAAATCATGAGTCAATTGAAGCTAGACCAACATGGAAAACCTGGAAGCACTGAACGGCCCTTTTTGTCCTAGTATAAAACTCCTCAGCAGTATGCATCCACGATCCCGCACCCCGCGGGATTCGAACCCAGGACCTACTGGTTTCGCGCGGATCGTGGATGCGCACTGCTGAGGAGTCCCACACTAGGACGAAACGGCTGTCCAGTACTTACAAGTTTTCCATGGTAATCTAGCTTCAATTGACTCATGATTTCAACCTGTGGAATGTAAATTATATTAAACTGTCCAAAATATCATATATTTTGTCATTAATAAAACCAGATAATAGTTGTATACAAAGCTTAGCATTAGACATAAATAATGTTGTTTCTTTGGGAATGAGAGCTTTAATTAGTGGAATTGTCTTTAGTACATTGAAACTGGCATATTGTCTTTAATCTTTGAATGACTCCTGTAATTATCCGTTATTAATCATACAGATAATTACGAATTAGAAATATTTATATGAAGATAATTTATTTTACATACCTATAAATAAAGCTGAAGATGAAGTTTGTCTATTTCACAAGTCATTTGCTCCTATTAAGTCTAGTTTTATTGAATAAATAATTAGATAAACCTATTAGAGAATTATTGAATACCATCCAACTTATATCGGTGCAGAACAATTAATAATAACTAAGAGGTCCTTACCAGCTCAGCTGATTTACGGAAAGCATCAAATGAACGTGACTGAGGTTTTTCAAGTTATCCAAGATATTCCATTAAAATTAATCTACGGTTTATGTAGATTCATTTTCTATACAGCTGAAATGGACTGCATTTATCATAACAAACTTTATCTATGTCACAATGATGAATCAATAAAACGAATCCCCCTTCTTAGTTAACTAAAACATCGCTCTCTCTCTTGTTACACAACCGGATATTATGTAATACATGTATTTTAACTCATTCACTTATTGGTTAACATTCTTGAATATTATAACTACCTAATTCTCAATAATTTAATCAATCATGGACGCACACTACTGAGGAGTTCCACAATACGGCGACATGGCTATCCAGTGCTTTCAGGTTTTTAATGGTGGTCCAAAATCAGTTGGCTCATGATCTCAATCAAAAACTTAATAATCTCCTCAACCCCGCACTAATAGCACCTCAACCAATAACCATAATTTTCATAAATACTTTTGAATTAGCAATAATTTTATTTTTAATCATTATCACAACTGGTATCGATTTTTAGTTACAAATTTCATTGTAAGTAAAAAAAGGGTTTAAAGATGACCCATAAACTCAGTTATATAAAACAGATTTACTTACCAACATATTGTCGAATTCCAATAAGACCAATGAAAAGAAACATCAATACCCCAGTATACTGATAGTTAAGCCTATCAGCAAAATCATCATCAAATCGCAGCCGTGATGATCCAATTCTTCCAAGCTTAGTTAATTTCCAGATGAATGTAGCATCCATTACTCCGCCTTGTTCGTGACCACCGAATGAATGACCACCGTGACTATCACCAACAAGACCGCCTACACCGCCTTCACCAACTTCACTATGTGTTGCACCTCCGCTAAATGTACGTGGATGTGAATCAGATGAGTGTATATGTCCAGATGTGTGACGACGATAATCGTGCCCTCCGGATCTACGATGATCACCTGTTGGGAGAAAATAAAATAGAAAATACGGTTTATTTTATACTAAAAGTAAAACTTTAACGTTTATTATCGGGACTCGTTCATGTGAAAAGTATATGTATACTAGTGAAAGTTATTCTTTGACTAACTAATAATACATAAGAACACAAATAACTTACCGAAGCAGTTCGCTAATATATTCAAATCTGAGGCGTATAAAATATAACAGATTTTGACTAGAGCTGGATGGTGGCTAACGGTGGAACCCTGTATGCACTGGACATACCTGAAACACAGAGACAGTGTTCAGTCCGGGACAGTTGAAGAACATATGCAACTCAAAACAACTGTCATTCAACATCAGTCAGAATCTCCAATACGAACATCAAGATAGTTCTGTTGTATGGAGTGGAAACTTTGAGAACTAATACATTATTAATCGGAAGTGTACAAGCATTTATAAATAACTGTCTTTTCAAGATACTCAATATCCGTTGACCGAATACCATGGGAGGAAACAAACCAGCTTCCATCTGAAGAGGAAATTAGAGAAAGACGTTGGAAGTGGATAGGACATTGAGTAAATCATCCAGATGCATCATGAGGCAAGTTTTATCTTGGAATCGTGAAGGGAGGCAGAAAAAAGGGAGACCAAAGAACACACTACTCTGAGAACTGGAAACAGACATCGAGAGAAGAGGTGGTAACCGGGAGCAAATCGAAAGGATCGTCCAGGACATAGATGAATGGAGAATGTTGATGAACCGCTCATGCTCCTCCATGAGGGTTAACAAGCGTAAGTGACTAAGTAGCATATTATTATTGTTCACATTAGTTGCTAATATTAAAATATAGAATACTTATCATTTTGCTATTCAGCTGGGTCCACTTACATTCCAGTACTGTAGGTGTTCTCATCAAAATTTCAACGTAATTCTTACATGTTAAAAGTCATATTGTTATGCACTAAACTGTTAAGTTATGATAGATTTAATTTGTTTATCATTCATCAAAAGATCGTCAAATATTACAAGCTAACTGGTAAAATAAAATCTGATGTATATTGAATTATTAAATCGAATTTGTTAACTAGACTACTTGGAAGCTGACAAAAATAGACAGTAAGTATTGTGTAATTTGCATAGATCTAAAAAAAATGCATCCTTTCAATTTTTCACCATGAAAACTAGATTTTTGGATAAGAATTATTATAGTATGCATAATACATAATGTGATCACAGAGGTTTAAGAACTAGTATATTATTTGAATGTGAGATAATGTTCTATTTGAGTAAATGTCAAATAATGTCGGATAGTGTAATATAACAATGATATAATTTTACGTTAGTAATCCCATAAATCGGTTTCTCGAATGAATAATACTGTAAGTTAAGGTATCACCCGTTAAATCAATTTATATAAAAGCCAACAAGAAGTTGTGTACACTCTAGAAAAAAAACCTATGAATGGTAAGCCAAACTCAGTCGTGTGTCGTTACGGGTATGAGGGCTGGTTTCACTTCCCGGCTGCCCACACCGTGGGAGGGTATTGCTTGAGGAACCTGAAATAGAAGTCGGATTAGTGTTGGTCTCAACGACCTGGGAGCGTGACCACAGAGCCCAAGGGACAACTGCTTGAGGCCGGTCACGCACGGCCTTCTGGTGGAAGGTTTTTTATGTGTTAGCTCCGTTCTTCAAAGGACCTTACCGCCGGAGACGGAAATCCGTGAGGTAAGGTGAGGTCTGACATTTTTAGGGTCAACTTTTTCTAACCTCACCCCTCCTTGTGGGAAGGCAGCATCGCTGCAGATGCTGGTTGTCTGAGGGAAAAACCTTACTGCTATCACACCTCTGTACAATCAGCAGTACGACTTCGCCCTCAGACCTTGAGTTGCCGCTTTTAGTCTTACCGTTCTCCAATCGACCTGCCTGGCATGGTAGAACCTACAGGAACATATGTTCTAGCCAATATAGTTCGATTGGGTCATCACGATAGGCAAGCCCGACCACCGTGTCAAGGTAGCAGCTTCGGTCGGGGTAAGCCAAACTAAATCATTTCAATTGTGTAAAATGCTTGAAATAAGAACAATAGCACTGAAAAGATGTATACATATAGCTTGAAACTATCTAGGAACTACCGCTTCTATTACTAATCACTATTTGAATGTTCTGGAACTTTCCTTCTCAAACTTTATCCGAAACAAAACTTTCTATAATCTTATTAACTATATTGAAATCTTCACCTCATTATAATACACATATTCATCTTTAATTACCTTCGTATATATAAGTATATCAATATCTGTAATAACTTTGATTTCACAATATTCTAAGCCACTGATAAGAACCTAATGAAACAGAATAGAATTCATATTATTCTGCATCAATCTTCATTAATGTTCTCTTTAACAAATCAAACCTTTATCAATGAAGTTCTATCGGACAATAACCTTATAAACTAATAATAACACTAAAAGTATTTTACATCTTACATCATTTCAGAAATATTTTTTAAAAAAATCAGTCAATAATGATGAAGGTATAGGTCTAACCATAATAGGGGACTGAAAAAAGACTAATATAATTATATATTAATTTGCATTTCACAGTACATTTTTTTATTAAGAAAAAAAACATGATTTTGAGATGGTAGAGAAAATTTGTAGCTCAAGTGGATGATTTTGGTGGAGCGTTTTTGTTCTCTGACCAAAACCATCCAGCTCAGAGAACAAAACTCCACCAAAAAAACATGATTATTTTTCGTTTCAGGAAATTGTTTATTTATTTATTGCGTATTATTATGTTGATCATTATTTATGATCCGTTTTCCCTTCTTTTTTTTTGTTTTTTTTTCGTTTGGCTTAATAAAATCTTCATGGGATTCAGGAAATTATTTATTTTTGATAAAATGTCCAGATTGTTTGTTTGTTTGTTTTCAGATTTCATAACAGACATTAAGAAAAAGTAACCAACAATATGAATGCCTATTGTAAACGTATGAGAATTGAGTAAATCTAAATTATGAATGAATAATAAATAATTTTTTTAGTCATATAATAAAGAATGAAATGAAAGAAATAGGAAGTAACTATGAATGAATGAATGAATGAATGAATGAATGAATGAATGAATGAATGAATGAAAATAGTTGATTAATTATTTTATATAACTATCATATCAATACTACTATCATATTCATTTGTATGTTGACTGTTATTTGTTTTGTTTTTTTGATACTCTATGGATAATGATAAATGAAAATAGATTGATTTGAACAGATAATTTCGTCAGTTAGTCAATGGTTATAGTCTTTGTTAATCAATGAATAATAGTCAACCGGAAATTGGAAATACCATTACATATATATATTGTATAAAATTATATATCGTGATTTTCATACTATTTTGTATAAACCTAATTCAACTTGAATACTAAGTGAGATGCGTCCAAATTTTATGATTAGTGAAAGTCAATTTAAAACGACAGATATATTTTACTGATCATTGTCGATTAATATGAAACGTAGATAAAGAGTCGCCTGACGACTGTTTCCAATTATTTGACATGAGAACAGAAAAGAAAACACACACTTAGATTTTACACTAGTAATTTCATTTGTAATCTATTTGGTAATAAATTGATCAACATTAAAAGCTAGATGAAATAATGTTGGACTCTAGGAATTAATCACTCACTATGTAAGAATTGTTTGCCATCCTTTGTATTCTCTGACATTTTATAATATATGACTATAATTTAAATTCTACCCAACATTTTAGATATTTTTCAATTTTTTAATTAGTTAAAATTCCCTTCTTCAATCTACATACATCATGATTATGCTTTTCAATGAAATCAGCTCATCGACATACAATGTCATAATATAAACCTTTTTAAGCAAAGATGGATAGTGGCTAGCAGTGGAATCCAGGACGCGCGTTTCGTTCTGTTTGGGACTCGTCAGCTCGATGTACCTGCATCCCAAAGTTCATGTTTACTCCGGGACTCGGTTCAAATACCATCGCGATATCCACTTAGCTACTGAGTCCTGATAGCCACCTACTTGTGTAATAGGATGAAGTTTAAATTCACTTGGTGTTATTTTACTTAGGGCTTTATCGAGGCAATCCGCACAGGATGCACATATGTCAACATGAGACTGATCAATTGCAGTCCTAAATAACAATGAGAAGATACAAGTAAAATAACACTAAGTGAACATATACCTTTGTTTTATTCTTCTATAGACAAAATTATTTTCTGAATGTTTTTTATCAAGTTGGATTATAAGATAGGAAATTTTATTCTTTGAATATAGTAATTTTCTTTCATTTTAGATCATGTTCTACTACAGTCTAACAGATACTTCAAATTATCTGTCAGAATAAATCAAAATTTCAACAGTAATCTATCGTTTTGATAATTATATGTCTGAGTTAACTAGTTGTATTCAATAATACAAGTATAGTTTTTTTGTTATAACTTGTAGCCTTGTGCCCTATTAATATATAACGCCAATTAAAGAACAGTGATTTATCGATCGGACCAATAACGCGTAAACCTGTACGAGCACTTTACAGTTCTTATCAGTCCTTCTTCCTGCCTAGCCCTGCCTGTTGAGTTCAGAGCATCAATCTCAGCCTCTGCAATACGAATCATGTATTCCAAACATACTGTGGTTATATACAAGCCGAACAGACCACATCTTACCACAAAATAGAAATTAACTTTTGTACAAGATCTAGCCAAAAGTGGCTGTGAATGTGGGAGAGTGCAATTAATAGATTGGGCAGAACTCAAGAACGGTAAATCGTATAAAAATAGTCTATGTGTTAAAATAAAGCTTATAATAAAAGAAACATGAATATGCATAGTTTAACCACTTAAGAATTATGTAATAAAAATATTTGTATCGTATTGATCTATAAATAGTTCTCAAGAGTTTCCATTCATAATTCTCATCGGGATATAACGCTTTTTATTACTTAAACTGAGACAATTTAATAGTGTACATCTAGAATTTGAAATAAACGTTGCCTCAATATTGAATTGTTACAAAACAAAATATGTGGTATCTAAATTCAAAACTCAAAATTATCTTAACAACAGTACTTCATTAAACATTTTCAACTTTTAAGTTCATAAAAATCTTTCAAATATGCAAACATTTTCCAAATTGCTTTATACAATAAAAGATAGTTACAACTATTAAGTGGTTCATTAAATATTCAATGTAAATTTCATAACTTTAAAGTGTTTAAATGTATTGAAGAGAAAACTGATTGGCGAAATTCATTCGAATCATTTTATAGTAGAATTGTTTCTATCTCAGTAGGTGTATTATTCTTTATTCAAACAATTATTTAATACAAGTCATATATAATAGTAAATATAGTTTTATATCCATTTTCAATAGTTTATTGTCTCAGTACTATTCTAGAGAAAATTGAAAGTGAGGATATACCTGAACATTATCTATCTTCCCTTAGATTTTCATCAACTTGATCAAATATATGATCGTAATAACCACTATT